AGATGGCGGCTGTGGGGGAAAAAAGTAGTGCAAAAACACAAGGAAAATGGGTGGCATGGATTGCATAAGTTTACCCAATTTATTTATAATTGCATAATTAATATTGTTTAAAATAATTTTTTCAAATTTGATTTTTTAATATAGTATATAGTCTGTTAATCCTGAAAATAATAGTCATATATAATTATCATTCATTAATACAAGAATTATAGTGGGGGAGGCAAACAGAGGCACTGGGTTACAGAACGTGGAGATGCTTTTCAGGGTAAAAAACAAAAAGGACAAACCAATTTGGACCTAGAAAAATTCATGGCTCAAAAACTACTACCCGGTACAACTAAAGTTAAAGTCTAAAGCTAGAAAGTTTATTCTAGTTTCATCACTTTATTTGCTTTGCTCTATACAAATGTATACTTTATCCTTTTTTGACCAAAATACATTTACTTAAACTAAGTTATAGACTAACTGTGGCAGTGTAGAGGCCACGGTTTTACGAAAACAGTGTGTAGCGCTCAAAACACTGTATGGAAATTAGCCCTCGCCCAACGCAGGTTTGGAATGTTACTTCGGGGTCAGGGCTTGGGTATCAGTTATCCTACAGATGACCAGCATCTCTCCATTGCTCAGAATACTTAATTATTGGGAACCACTATGTGTGCTTTATTTATAAATTCAATCATTTATTTCTCGGGCACCCTAGTGTATCAGGCTATGGATTATATCTAGTTGAAAGCGGGATTTTATTCACTATAGCTTAGTTTATTTACAAGTCTCCATCGTTATAGGATATTTTAATATTTAGTAATTAAGGAAGTTTTCACATTCATTCATTGGGGTCCCAAACAGTTTTATTTAAATATCTCAAAGACCATTTAACCCATAGAAATATATGATAGTATCTTAGATAGCCAAGACAAAAAAGACACATTTAAGTCTTAGGGATTTGGTCCGGGATGTTAACTTTTACTCATGGTGTAGTCCCTAGAGTTAGTCATTTTACCCCAGGAAATCTGCCTGAAGGCAAGTAAGAGACTGTCTTGGTATGGGTGTGACATACATGCTCTCTAGTCTAGTGTGGCGTGCACACTAAGGAATTTTTCATTTAAGGTTTTCATCGCATCCCTAAAGTGCGCCAGTGTTCACAGGGGCCCATTGGGATGCTCTGTAAGTGGATACAAATACGCTTTTTTATTTATGTGTCTGAAGAATGCAATTGTTAGGTGTTTGTAATGGAATATTTCAGTTCATGACTTAAATTAGGCAGTGCTTTAATCACTTGTTAGCTCCGTTAATTTGACATGTAACAATAATATTGGGATGGTTGAACATACAGTCTTTCACTGAATTCTGAAATGGATATTAGATACCAGTGTATGTGAGCATAACACACAACCGTTAGATCGTTCTGCTTACACATACTGCAATGTGCGGATAAGCTGTTGATACAACAGTATACAACCAGCAAATATACATGAAATATGTGTAGTAGGTTAACTCTTCTGCCTTGTGCTAAATCCTCACACAGGAAATGGTGCATGTGTTAGGGTAATATTACCAGCTGTATTAATATAATTATAATTAGTCATTCTGCAATTTGTTTTTGTCTTAACGATTGATTGATGTGAGTATATAACTAACGGTGATTATACCTTACACCATTGTAGTACCTGTCCTGCTATGGGTGCATCTTAATAGACACCTTACAATTACATGGACGAGAGTATCAAAGTAATTTCTAGACCTTTATGTTAGCCCCCACATCTCACATTTATTATGTGTGTACTTGCTTCAAGTTAAACACTGCAGCGTGCTTACTTTTATAATTAAACATTATTACATTAATAATAGTTTTAATTGGCCTTTGTATAGCATGTATTAGTATTATCTTAGTTAATAGGCACTCCAATACTTTCGCAGCCTGCGATAGAAAAACGTGGCCTGCCGAGCAGCGATCGCTGTGATAACCTGGCGCTTTTCGTTTTTGGTAGATCTCGGCGTTTAGCATTGTTTTAATAAACCTAATTATTTTAATTCGAATCTGCAATGCATGCCAGTTATGTGGGTATGAATTAAGTGGATATCTGACATTGCTGAGACGATTAATTGGAAAGTTGACTTGAGTAATTGAGTTGGCTGTGCTAAATTTTTTTTTAAAATCTTGTTCGGACTTAGAAATTACTTGAGTCCATAGTTTATATATTTTTTAAAAGGGCAAATTAAAAGAGTACTGATCATCACTGAACTCTATTAGATCTTGAGCGACGTGACAAAAAATTAAAGGCTGCCAAGCTGTGGCCATTTCTTTCCCCTCTATCTAGCGGAAGTGGTATATCTCTAATGTTAACAGTGGTTATTATTATTTAAAATCTTTTTGAAACAGCTAAATGAATATTTCCTGTATTATAACTTAATAGATTGATTATAAATATACACTTTTAATAACTGTTTTTTTAAATAATAATTACACTTTTAATAATAATTACACTTTAGGCCTAATATAGTTCATAAATAAGAACCAGCTTTGGATCAATAATAGAAATAATACATATAAATTATAAATGATACGAAATCAAAGTGCGGCGACATGCATCATGCAAAGAGCAATGAATTATATATTAAGATAGCCTCTAGTCGTAAGTTATTAACAACTATAAATGTACATAAATAACAGAACATTGTTTAGCCTATTTAAAAATATTGTATCATTATTTTGTATATTCATAATTAGTAGTCCTAACCTTTTTAACATTTTTGTAGAGTTACAGATTTTTTATCATTCCCTGTGATCGTGCTATGTTGTGTCAACCTGGAGGAGATCAACAAACAACCCCATTTGATATTGACAATGGAGGCAGATGTTTTTTAGGCTACAAATCGATGAGGATGAAGTGTTGTTAGAGCACCGGAGCTGAAACTTAATGTGCCTGTACAATAATGTCGACAGAGATGAAGTTTCATTTATTAACTTTTACTTAAAATGTTCTGAATTATGTTTTTTTTTTATTTAAATACTTTATTAAATTTAGATTGACACTGTTTTTATTTGTACTGCACTTTTCATTGACTTAGAATTATAAGTTTAAAAGTTATAGTTAAAAATACACATCAATGTCGACAGATTACATTACATTTTTGAATTTTGTAAAGCATGATTTTAATTGCCTTTGTAATATTTTAATATTCTATTACATTCATATTGTCACTATCTATTTAGGCTGAAAATTTCATTGCAGTAGCTTTATTAGTTTAAAAGTTATCTATTTAAGTGTAAAAATGTCTCGGTCGTGGGCCGTGGTCACTTTTCATGAAATATTTTTTCAAACGTTGCATACATTTTTCTGATCTGCATTTTATTTATTTTAAATTTACCTTACTTCTAGATGGACATCATATGTTTGTATTGAAAATTTTATAGCAATTTCTTTATTAGTTTAGTAATTATGTTATTTTTTTTAAAATTAAATTTTTCGACAATTGTCATTAGCAATGCCATATGCTCATAAAGTCATATTTAATCAAATATAATAAGTTAATTCACAATTCTTGTGTTTTATTTTGTTAAACATTGTATTTTAAATGTCTTCTCCAAATTTGATAGCTCTAACTTTAATAGCCAAAAAGATACAAAAAAGATTAAAAAAGTACAAAAAGAGTAGTAATTCAATCAGTTTTACAAATTAAATACAAAGCCAAATAGTGGGGAAAAATAAATCACTAACAAATTCATAACTTTTCCCCTATAAATGATGCAAAGATTATCTTGGCGTCATTGGAAAGCTTAAAGCCAGCTCTTTCCAATGATATGTACTCGTTTTTATAGCCATTTTAATGTTTAAGCTACTGTTTCTATAGTCATTTTTAATATAGTAGTTACTATTCTAGTGTCTCTTGTTTTTCATTTTTATTTTACTTTAGCAGTTTAAATAGGTTACATGTTTTTAATAATTGAAAAGCGCTTAGAGCTGTAAGATAAGCGATAAGCGCTATATAAAAATGCCTAAATAAATAAATAACTATGCCCTTTGTCTGTGTAAGATGTATTTGAAAATTTGAGTTGGAGTACCTCATTAATTAAAGTTAAGTAAAAGTATATTTTGTCGCCACTTGTAATTATGTCGTTATTTAAAATGTTTATTGTAAGCTGTATTATTCAATGTTAGTCAGGACATTGTTAACCTATTGTATTATTTGTTTCTTTTCAGATATTGTCCTTTTTCTTTAACTTTTCATCATCGTAAACTTTGCCTTTCTCAGGCCGAGGCCTTGGCTTTTTCTTTGGCCTTGTCTTTTTGTTATTCATTAAATTATTATTATTCTTTGACATGGTTTATAATAGTTTATGGAAACAAATACATCTATAAGTCCTCAAGACCTACATTTCTTTAGTGTATATTAGTAAAACTGTCAGCCTCATTCATCACCACCACACCACTTTGCTACATAAAAATATAACAACAACGTCTATAGCTATTATAATCATAATAATGAAAATGAAGTCTTTGCAATGCATGGCCTAATTTTAAAATAATAATAATATATATTCATGAGTATACGAGAAACTGTTTTTATTTTGCGTTAAAATCATAGTTTGATTTTGTTTTACATACATTGTTACATTTCCAGCTCCTCTAATTATAATAGGATCCGGAACATATATTGTATATGTGTCAACATTATCCTCATCTTCTTCTCTTTCTTCGTAGATTGTGTCAAAGTCAGCCATTGTTTACACTACATTCCCAAATGCTTGCCAGGTTGTAAGAAAGCAAACAGAAATAGCTTATGTTATACGTATTTTACAAACTGAAATTAACAATTATTAATATAAACAAAATCATTATTTCATTAAGCTTATATTTTACATTTATATTAATTATAATTTATATTGGCTCCGAAGTTGTAAATATATTATTTATTTATTTTTTAACAATGAAGCGGTTTGAATGAACTTTGAATATAGTGAAGGCTTCTGGCATTGATTGTCAGACGAAAGTTTTCCCCGGGCTTCTAAAGAGCTCCACCACTGAAATGCTGTACAGTGGTTTCCAGGCCTGGAATATTTTTTATTTTAGTTAACATCAAAATACATCACAAAGTTTTGGCTTTACTTTTTTAGCAATGGATAGAGTTAAAAGAAAAAGAGAAAAAACTACTCTACTCCATCCATCTAAGCTGGAACAAAATTAACAAATTAAAACAGTCACCATGGCATGTATGTTTCAGTTAAAAAATGAGGTCGAATTTCTAGTGAAGTTATAATAATAATAATAGGTCTGGCAGGAACACTGATTATTTTCAAGGGGTGCATCTAAAAAATTAATTGATGCATGTTGGTAAGGATTTGTTATTTGATTGCAGAATTTGAAATATATCAAAATAAAATTCTTAAATTGTTGTCATCTTTTCTTCTTTGAAAGACAGTACGATGATTGATTTAATGATTGTCATTAGTAAAAAATGAGTATTACTAGATGAGAAGTAGTCAAGCCAAGTAGCCTAGGCCTAAGTTAAGTTTAAGCTTCTATCCATCCCTGTGGCGCTACGGCACATGAAGGGCTTATTTGGCCTGCCTCACTACTTCCTTCCACTCAGACCTAACCAATGCTTTTCTTTTCCATGCTTGGATTCCTAGAGTTGTTGTAGATCTAATCACATCATCCATCCATATAAGCCTAGTGAAACAAAGAAAACTATACTATAGATAAAAATAAAACTGTTATCAGACCAGTTGTAACATATGCAAATAAAATGTAGACCCTTACTAAAACGGCTGAAAACTTAATAAACACATGGGAGATAAAATTTCTGAAAATATACGGACTAACAAAGGATGAATATGGATGGAGAATACCAAAATCAAACAGGAATTTTATAGTCTCTATAAGAATCGCACTTTAGTAGCAGAAATAAAACAGGGCAGGCTACCCTGGGTTGAACACTTAGAAAGAATGACAGAAGTGAAGAGGGTGCACCACTAAAACCCCAAAGGAAAACAGTTCAAAGGCAAACCTAGGCTTAGATGGATGGATGATGTGGAGAGAGATTTACATCAGCTAGGAATTTAAGCATGGAAAAGAAAAGCATCAGTTAGGTCTGAGTGGAAGGATGTGGCTGCATGGGCTGTAGCTTCACATGGATGGATGTATTTTGTGAGGCAGGGGGTTCCCTAGTTCATTAAAAAGTACCTGACAGGACAAAACTAGTGACTGCTGATGTGTCATCCTCAACACCTTTAGGGTCTTCTGAAGTATTTTAGTGTATGTTAAACAATGCCTCCAAACTTTTTTCATTGACACATTAAAGTTATGGACGTAAATTTTAAATGTATATATATTGATAGTTTTGCACATCTTAATTATTTTTATTTTAATTGTCAGAACTTCTACCTCAGAGACTTGTGCTGCTGTAAGTATAGTATTATTGAATAGTTTTACTGCTTGTATCATATGATGAATATAATTGGTTGTTAGATTTAATCACCTCTCTGTATTCCATTTGCAGTACTTAAACTTACAGCATGTTACTCCTATATTTATGATCATTCAGATGAGATATTGTTTTTCATAACAATGTGAACATAAAGACCACTTGCTGTCTTTATATAGTTTGCTTGTTTTTCTATTGCCCTCATGCTGTTTTGGGAGCACTATGCTCTGTTTTTTTCTTACCTCAAAGCTTGAAATGTAATGAGTTTTTAAGGGTTTTTTTTTATAAAGTATTTGCTGGTAATGCAATTAACGAATGCAATGTTACTATAAATTAAATACATTTAAGAAAAATGTGTTGAGGGGCAGTGAAGAAATGATTGGATCCTGTAAACAAATAACAGGTATGCTATTATATTCTATCTAATTTATTTATAAATGGCACTTTCTGCTTTAGACTATGGAGTTCTTGCAGAGAAAGGAAGATTCAATGATGAAAACGAAAAAGAAAGAAGAATTCTCTAATTTCTTAGAGAAAGAACTATATAGGAGTGGTAAAAAAATGGTGTCAAAGGTAAAATAAATATATGAATTTTTTTTATATACATTAAAACAAAGTATAAACATAAAACAAATTATTTCAATCTATTTGAATAATCCTCCGAAAAAACATTTTAGTCTAAAAAGTGATAATTTTTAAAAATGATCATACAATTACACATATTTCATATACTATATCTTATTAAAGCAACAAAACCTACTATTTTATAGCCTGAATAAAAAACTGTGTGGTCACAAATTAGTAGTGTGAAATAAACTGAAGGAAATTTTCACTTATCATCAATTTTATTTTCAGAATAATTGTGCTGCTGATAAATCAGAAACTTCCGCTACCATGATATCCAGTGAATCTAGTGAGTTTCAGCTTTATGCTTTTAATGTTAGATGTTTTGTATTATGAAAAGACTTAGATTCTTTTCCTTTATTAAACTCAAACTCCACTATCATAGTTTAGTTTATACATTAAACCCCATTTCCTTATTTTATTTTATATATTGAACTAAAACTCCACTATTATTGTTTAGTTTATATTTTTAACTCCACCTGCATTGTCTAGTTTAGTTTATATATTAAATACCAACTCCAATTTTATGGTTTACTCTCTATATTAAAATTAAACCCCAACTCCACTCTTATGGTTGGCTTTCTAAATTGAAATCTACCTTTGCTGTACAGTTTGGTCTCTATATTAAAATCTATCAAGTATTTCATGGTTTTGTCCCATATCCAACTCCATCTCTGCTGCTGCTGTTGCTGCAATGACTTAGTTAGGTCCATGTATGCAAGTGTATATTTTCATCCTCATCCTCATGTCCCTTAGTCCTCGGACCGTTGGGGCGCCACAGATGACATGTGAACCATCCTCATCCATTCCTCTCTGTCTTCAGCACTACGCATTGCATCGCCCAGTGTTAGTCCTGTCCACTCTTTGATGTTATTTACATTTTGGAAAATTACAGAAAAAAAAATCCCCTAGAAAACTAAAAATTTAAAATAATTTTTTTTTGATGAAATGCTATCATCAAATCTCACAAGGTTTCCATTCCATTTTCAGCCTCTACCATGTCTATGGATCTTTGTCATGATGTCACCAACCAACTTAAAGAATATGGTATAGAGCTAGATGGATATCTGCAGTCCCACAAGAAGCAGCAGCAGGAATTTGAGCGGCACCTACAGAAGATCTTTGAGGAACACAAACTTCAGCTAAAAAGCATGTGGGATGAATTCAGTTCCAAAACTCTCAAGCAGAACCTACTGCTCAAGGCAGAACTGCGTGAGATAAAAGATGGAGCCAATGAAATGGAACGAGAAGATAGGAACCATATCATCAACACACTTAGTAACGCTCAGAAAGAAATCCAGGCCTCGTTGGTAAAGATTCAGGAAGATTTTGAGGAAAATCGTCAATTCCAAAGTGAATTGTTTAGAAAAGAGAATAATGTTTTGAAGAAGAAGCTTGGTGACCTGACACAGTCCATTGATGCAGACTTTTCCACAGTGAAAGTTAACATTTCAAATTTAAAGGATTCCTCCAAGCACTTGGAGAGAGAGATACTGAATGTTAAGCAAGAGCTCCAGAACAGTGTCAGGCCCCCAGAACCAGTGGCAAACTTTGGCCATGGTGATGATGAAGTTGAAAGAAGGGTAGCTTTTCTGCAGGAGGACGAAGAAACCCCGAATTTGATGACACAGGCAAATAACTTTCTAGTGGCATCTTACGGGTTTCCTTTTAAATTCTTGAAGTGTCCAAATTTTTCAAGGGGTGTGTCATTTTTATACCAGCCGTTACCTTTGGTTGTGTTTGCAGTTATGATGGTGGCATCCTACTTATATTTTAACTGGGGATCCTTTGACGTCTTTGGTGGCCGAAACAACAAATTAAGGAAATGGCTGCCTTGAATGCTACTCTCTGGCCTTTGTTTACAGCTCTCTGTTTTCTAAGACCCTGGAAATTGTAAATTTAAAAAAAAAAATTCCTTCCAAAAAATAAGCAGAAAGGAAAGTCATTTTGGTTAAGCTTTGGCTATCTCAATAATTGTAAAAACTTTTTAAGATGAACTAAAATCATTAAAGTTTGAACCCAGCCCTGGCGGACAATCAACAACATCTCATTAAGTCTCATTTGTATAGATTCAAAATTGCTCAACGGAAAGTGAAAAAGTAAAAGATAAAAAAAAATATCAATTGCAACATTCATGAGCTTAGAAACATTTGCAGCTGTATTTTTTTGAAAGAACTGTGTTATGTGTCCATTGGGGAAAATCTTCAACCAAAACTTGTTTACCCAGCCTCTTGTTCACTCTTTAATTCTTCCTTCAGGATATTTGTTATGAAAAATATCAACATTTTCTAATGAGCGTCAAGATTCTTTAATCTTCACAAAATTATGAGGAACTTAATTTGTATTTAAAATTTAACACAAAATGTGCTTGCTGTTTATCTCCCATTTTTATGGAAAAAAAATAAGGCATCAAATAAATGTTACTATTTTAACGCATTGCAAGTCAAATGATTCGCCATGGAAGTTGATGCACATCACTGTGACATAAGCAAACTCAGGATTGTGATTAGCCTATATAATTTAGTTTTTAGTTTATTTCAAGACCGTAACATTATGCCATCCTAACAGCAAAGTCATCTAAATATGTTATTTAAGCAGTGAAGTCAATAAATAATGTTTTTTTTTACATTGCCCATTGTTTGATATTAATTTTTGTTACAACTTTTGAGTGTATTTAGTCTTGTTATTAATATTATGTAATAAAACTATTCATTTTAATAAGTATGCAGTCTGTAATAATGCTAGCCCCATAAAGCCAGTGCTTCTAATAAATCTTCTTTGTTTAATGGTACAGCAGTAATCAACTGCATGACAGGCAAGGACAACAGTTCACAATTTATTAATATTTATTATTTACTTATATTTAAATCTTTTAATAAAAATTATGTCTTTTATTTTCATTTGTAGCCATCTAAATGTCAGTAACTGATAGCTCGCTGACCTATGCCTGTCTGTTGACCCACAATTTAATTTAAACTTCTATATGTAACTGAGAACTGAAATCATTACTTGTTAGCAAGATAAAATTCAAAGTTCAAAAAATGTATTGAAGCCTTTTAAAACCATACTATTAAGGGAGATTAGCCATGGTTTTTGTCTCTTCTCAGTTATGGAGTTGCGCCCCTTTCCGTTTGTGCAGAGGGAAAAAATATAATAGCTTTATTATTAATAAAAATTTCTAAAACATAATTTCAGTGAAAGGTTAACAGTTTTGTAATTCTTCCCACCAAGGAAGTCAAATGCCCTACCCCGGCACAAAACATCTACAACAATATCGTCGATTTAAGATAATTTTGTATCAGCTTTATTTTGGTGAATCAAAGCTGTGCAGAGGCGACATTAGCAGGAATTGGTAACATAACATAGAGCTAGTGACCTCTATTTTTGAAAGAGTCCTTCCAACTTGTATCTTTTTAAACAAGTCAGTTGCTCCACATACTTTTTCACCTGTTACGAAGATTTGTTAGTTCTAAAATCAAGCTTTTTAAAGTTTGATACTTCGACTTACAGCGTCCATGTCTGGATTGAGTAACCTTATTACAGATATCAGCTGGAGCTAATACTCTGCACCATACAACAGACATCATCACAGAAATAAAGGATGTGATATAAGACAATGCTACATTTAATTTAGCCCTCTTCTTTTTCTGGTAGTTAGGTTCAACTCCAAGACGTTTTCTAATGCTAATTTGATGCCTGGCAGTTGGGCTACAAGGGGCTTTCTACGTTCAGCACTTCAACACGGTCTGAGCACCGTGTGTTAGACTTGCCATTAAGAGAACAGCCAATAGATCTCCTGCAAGATTTTCCATCACTGTCGACTAGAACCCAACACGTTGAGAACAGTTTGTACAGTTCCAAAGAATGTTACGTCTTCAGGAATGTATTCTGCGGCATCATTTCAACACAATAGAAGTGTGTGTCATCAACGTGGTGAGAATAAAGCTGTTTGACATTGCTCAAGTATTCTTGCTTGAGCACTTTTAGATTTTCCCCGCATGTTGGCTGCATTGTCACGTGTTTTCTGTCAGGCACCCCCCCCCCCCCCCCGTCCCTTACGTTAAAGTCAAGTGACCTTAACAAATTTTCCTGAATAACAAGAGTTTACAAAATATTTAGCCCGTATTTATTAAATTTCAACTGCTTTTATTTTCTTAATATCAGAAGAATAAATAATTTCCTCCACCTTTTGCCTATTGGCGTGAAAATAAAAATTCAGCTTTATAACTCTAGCATTTCGATTACCTATCCGATTCCATTTTCCTTTCATTCAGAAAAACGCTTTCTAAATCATCAATTTTGAAATAAATGATGTTGATTTGGTCAACAAATGAGTTAAAGAATATTGAAGATGCGATTTGTAATTTACCCGAAGAAAGTGATAGTAGATTGACATTCCAAATAAACCATTTCAATGAAATGAACTGAATATTGGAAAAATTGACACTTCAGCTCAAACTTCTTATTTATTATCTTGATTTTCCTCATTAAAATCACATATTAAGAAATATCTGAAATGTTTTGTAAACATCTCATGTCTACTTAACATAATTATGCCGTTCATACACTATTTATGAAAATGATCAGCTTGAAAACGCATGTTCAAAAAACTTAATTATTACAAGTAATTTTTTTTTTCATCGCGTTCATCAACATACATCACACAAAAGCACCGATAAAATCATTTTACTAAATTTTACACAAATGTTACAAAACTTTTTTTGGAAGGAATTTTTTTATTTTTTTTTAAATAAATTATTAGATAAGTAATCAACCCCAAAATATTTAAATAAAACAATAAAGCAACAGTAATATTAAATCGTTAAAAAACAAATTGTATAACACTAGAAGTTCATGCAGGGCCGTCATTTGACTTTTCGAGGCCCCTTGCCACTTGTCAGTTTCGTCCTTCCCCGCCTTACATGAAAAGTTAATACTTACAAAAAAGAAAAAAAGAAAATGTCTTTACCACAACTTCAAGCTCCTAACGTATCTGAGGCCACCTGCAGCCCTAGGGGATGCGGCACTCACACGATGGCTCTGAGGTTAAGTGACACATAAATTTGTAAGTAGCGTCGTCTCCATTCCTCTCCAATGAAATGTTGCATGACTAAATTCAGGTATGCGCTAAAATGCATTATTGCATTTTAAATTTATCAACAATTTTCTGGGGGCTATAAATATAAAGATTTAATGGGCGAGAGTAAGCTAGGGCAAAAAGCATGAACTCAAGGGCCCCATAGCTGGAATGAATTTAGTTGATGTTGGGTTGGGGCGAAGTCAGAAATAGCCTTGATCATTATTATGGCTAATTCTGGATCTTCCAGCCCTATTGTAGCCTAGTGGCGTAGCTAATTTTAAGGGCGCCATGGACGAGCCAAGATTTTTGGCGCACTTCCTTGCCGATTCAAACGAGCCAAGATTTTTGGCGCACTTCCTTGCCGATTCAAACTATTTAGTTGTCCGAAAATGCTGCCCCTCTATATAAAAAAATGACTTTTCGGTGGAACACCACATCCGCCCCTCTTTCTGCGCCACTGCCAGAGGCGTAGCTAGAGTGTTTGGCACCAAGCTAACACGATTAATTGAAACGCCCCACCCCTTTTAACTCTGAAACCCATTATTTTCATACATTAAATACCATCAAAGCCCTTTGTGATACCCCACTAGTCTGGCGCATGGGGGACATCTGTCCGGTCTGTCTCCCCCTTTAGCTACGCGTCTGGCCAGTGGTGCTGCCCCCTACCCCGACAATCCCCCCCCCCCCCCCCCCCCCCCCCCCCCCCCCCCCCCACAACCCCCCCCCCCCCCCCCCCCGTGGAGAACCTTGTCTGAAAGAAACACTGGCCCTGTGCACGACAGTCCGAAAGTGGTTCTTTTAATGTCTCTACTATAAACTACTCAGCAATGTCGTGTCCTATTTTATGGCTTGTGTCCACTTTGAATTAGAAAACAACACGAACCGACAAAGTAACAAGTGCACTTGTTATTTGTTTAGGATCCCATTTAATCAACACGCATTTTTACCCCACTGTTGCTGCCATCAGTACGTTCAGGGCCATTCCTTTTCTTCGACGCCATGTGCCGCGGCACACCTAGCATCCCCTCGCAGCGCACCAAATGTGCCGCTGGATCCCGGCTGCGGAGCTCTGCTCTTAAATTGTGCATCGAGAGGAAATGGGAGATACAAGAAGCCATGGTTAACAACGCCGTTTAGCGTTTATTTACTTAGCCATGCACGAGGCGTGGTTAGCGGAAATTTGATCGAAAGAAATTTCGTCGATGGAAATCGATCGACGGAAATTGAATGGAACGGAAATTGGGTCGAATCTTTTTTTCAGTTGACACACGTTAACATTTTCGTCAAATTTCTTTTTGAACGCACTATGCTATATTGCAGGGGTCTCCAAACTTTTCAGCCTGAGGGCCGCATTAACTATCAAATAGCAGTTCGGGGGGCCGACTACACACTCCAGGTCCAAATGAAAAAGAATTTAAAAAATGGATGTTGTTTATTTAATATTATTTTATTCAGTTATTATTTAATAACACATTGATACACTACACTATCACCTGCCCTGCACTCAATGTACATTGACATATATCCCCTGCATTGCACTCAATGCACAGTGACATCTATCCCCTGCCCTGCACTCAATGCACAGTGATCTGTATTAGTGTGAATGGTGAAATAATTTCCTGGATGCCAAAATAGTAGATATTCCTGGCTTTAGTTTTGATGTCCCTAACATCACGTTAACAGCAACCTGAGATTATCATCGGAAAAGTTTGTTCTCAAATTGCTCTTCACGTATTTCATTCTTGAAAATGTTTGTTCACACAGGTACATTGTTCCAAAGATTGAAAGGTATCTTGATACAAAAGTTTTGACATTAAGAACATCTTCCTTGGGCAAAAACTGGTAAAAGCCCACCAGTCTTTCTTTGAACTTGTCCCTAAGGAGGCCATTTGCTTGCAACTCAATGACCTCCAGCTGCAGTTCATCTGGTCAACTGGCCACATCTGCTTCAAATGGGTTTTGAAAAGGTCTCACTTCTTCTGCCTTTGAATCCAGGTCAGACAACCGCTGCTGAAATTGCAGCTGGAGGTCTTTGATGATCTCGCATGCAAATGACATGGGGAACTCCGCTGTTGCTTCAGCCATGAAGACCGTCCACTGCTGAATGTGAGTCAAGTTGTTGGCCTGTACTAGTTCCAAAAAAACCAGACGAATTTGGATCTGAAGGCCTTTAAAAAGGTGTATAGATCAGAAAATAAATGTTCCTCTCCTTGTAGTTTTAGATTCAAAACAGAATAAAATAAAAATAGCTTCAACTGAAAAGTAGTAGCCGAGAGGGCAGTAAGGAATGATGAAAACCTGACTTTGGCATAAGCGACGGGAATCGAAACATTATAGGAACCACTGAGCTAGCACATGGAAGAATTGGAAGATGCTGTTGATGAAATATTACTGTAACTGTAGCACTGCTACTACTGAGGACTATTGAAGCCATATCTATCTAGTTCATTTGTGAAAATGAATAGCACTAATAGCAACATTATGACGATAATTCCTACACAACGTTACGTGATATTTTTACAG